TCAAGCTCACAATGCTTATGGTCTTGAGCATGAGTTCTACTCTTCACACGGTGAACTGCCCATGGCTCTGCTTCCTATACAGGAATTTCCACATAATGAGAACTTTCTTCTTAAGTTGGATGAAATAAAATCAGTTGCCTCCATGATTTTGCTTATTCACTGATAACCTACACTTATCTAAGTCAGAAGTAAGGTGAATGAACCAGTGGGATAACTGAAAAGATTTTTGTAATCATGGTCAGAAGGCAAACGGTACTGTTATCAGGACTTGGCATATCAGGCCAATGGGTATTGTACAATTTGAGCCAGAAATTATTGAGTGTAAGACCATGATAATATTTACAACACATTTTGTTCTTTTCACAGACTCAACGTTTTGCTGTTTGTCTTTGTATCATACTTAGGAACAAATAGACAATACGGTTAGTGACTATCCATGCCTTTTTCTTAAAGGAGAAAGAAAAGAAAAACAAATGACAGCAAATAGTATCACGTTATGCAGCCCAAGTGGCCTGGAATTTAACAATGTAGACCAGGCTGGCCTCTGACTTATGATTATCCTCCTGCCTCTGCCCCACAAATCTTGGAGTGACAGATATGTTTCACTATTCCAAGATGTGCTAATGCCTGCTTTTAACAGATACAAAAACACTTAAGAAAAGAAAGACAGACTTAGGATTTTAAAGATTTCTTTTAATGTATACGTATGTGGGTATGTCTGAGTGTTTGTTTATGTACATATGTGTGGTGTCTGCAGTGGCCAGAAGGTATCAGATCACTTGGAGCTAGAGCCACGAATGGTTCTCCAAAGCTAGATGGCTCTATATAACCTAATGTGGGTTTTGGGAAGCAAATTTCTCCGCAAAAGCAGTATAAGCCCTTAATCGCTCAACCATCTCTCCAGTCCTAGCTTAGGATTTTAATAAATTGATTAAGTTCAGCCGATAACTTGGGAAGGTCAAGGACACTGGGAGTTTGCAGAGCAGCCAACATCAGTTAGAGAGGAGGCTTGTAAATATATAATCTGATGCAAAACAACTTTTACTACAGTGAAGTAAATCCAGCAACAAAGGCAGTGCTGCTGGGGCATGGTGGTGGTGCTCCTTAATGACAAATACACACCTAGAATATAGTAACTGAAGAAATACATAGTGAACACTAAGCAAAGAGACACTTAGAAACACTAAGCAAAGAGACACCTAGAATACACTAAGCAAAGAGACACCTAGAATACCCTGAGCAAAGAGACACCTAGAATACCCTGAGCAAAGAGACAGATAGAATACACTAAGCAAAGAGACACCTAGAATACACTAAGCAAAGAGACACCTAGAATACACTAAGCCGAAGAGACACCTAGAATACACTAAGCGAAGAGACACCTAGAATACACTAAGTAAAGCCCCAGCACATATAGCAAACCCACGGTTTTACAGATGGAGAAGAATGCACTGGGAACCCTACATTACATTTAGGGATTCAGTCATTAGCCAATCCTGGGCTTTGTTTCCAGTTTCCCTAGCTGAGAGCTGTCTGTTTTCAGGTGACTTCTCTCCCTTTCCCTATTTCAGTTTTTCCATCCACACAGTGGCTTCTGGAAATAGATTAAAGGTGTACATTGTGTCCATTTTTTAAAAAGGACATATAAAATATTTGTAGAGAGTAAGTTCTTAGTTAATCCTTATGAGTGACTTTTCTATTTTTATACTTTATAACTTTCAAACTATTAGCAGTTAATGATCCTGCTTCTGTAGAATTAATCTTGTTTAAAGGCTGAGTAATGATGTGATGGTGCCCTGGGTAGAATAAGTACTACCAGAAAAAAACATATCTGTGGGAGAGGCATGGGAAGGAGCCTGTGTTTTAACTTGGTTTGAGGTGAGACTACCAAGCCCCAAGATGTCCACCTTTACCAAAAGCTGGGTCTGGCACCCTTATCTCCAGACTAAGCAAGAATAGATGAAGGAATCAGAAGCATGGAGCCTTACATGTATGATTGTACATAGAGCTCATATACTAAGGGGGTGAAGAAGACACAGGGGCTATTACAATTGGAAACAATCAATGTAACTCCAAGGATTCGGGTCTGGGTCTTGGAAGGGCAGAGACTGAAATGGAGAAGCTGGTGAAAGAAGTAATTTTTGTTTGTTTGTTTTCATTTCTTTTGTTTGTTTTGAGGCAAGCTCTTCCTACTTCCCATGGGGAAGGAGTGTCATCCTTCTACCTTGGCAATTAAAATTCTGAGAATATGGCCAAGCAGCACCATGCCTGGATGAGAACAGGTTTGATGAAACAATGAACACAAATTTGTTTGTGACTATTCTCGGGTTTGCAAAAGGCTCAATGAATTTGTGTGATTGTGCTATGGGGATTGTATAGTCTATTCCTATGGCTACAAGTCAGGGCAAGGGCAGGACAAAAGAAAACACTGTGTTTCATGGAATTAAAATAGATAGGCCTGACAAACTTACTTTTTAGTGCTCAAAGAGCATACTGATCAGAAACAGTCAAGGGACACACTGAAAATTGGGGCCCAGCTACAATTTTAAAAGCAAGAAGTGTCATAGAAGAATGGGCCCATCTCAGGAAAGAGCTGTGGCTTCCCTTAGCTCAGTTGTGGTCAGGTTGAATTCAAAATGAGATGGACATGGGGGCAGATATGATAGGAGTATATTATGCATATATAAAAATGTCATAATGAATCCTGAGATCTTGAGCAATTAACATATGCTAAGAAACTTTTTTAAAGGATGGACTGGGGATGTGCCTCACTTGGTAGAACATTTGCTTAGCATGCATAAAGCAATGGAGTTGATCCCTAGTATGACATAAACTAGGTGTGGTAGAGCACTACACAGGAAAAAGAGTGGAGGCAGGAAGACCAGAACTTCAAGTCCATCCTCCACTGCATATTGAATTTGTGGTCAGTCTAGGGGTACATGAGACCCTTCCACAAAGATTATGTTAAAATAAAAGAATAAATTTAGGGGCGAGATCAGAAGATATCAAGTCAGGAGAGGAAACAAGGGGTCTTTTGGATTGCTCTAGGAAGACATTACCAGGGACTGCAAAAATGGTTTTTGAGGCATGACAGTACAGCAGATTGAATCTTTATTCAAGACACTAGTTTGGGCAGTGAGAGCAGAAAGTATATGATGAGAGCTGTGGAAGATGACTGAACAGTGTTATAGCTTAGTCAAGATGAAGGACCCTGAATATTTGAAAGCAGAAAGGAAGAGATGAAAACGTTGGGAAGGTAGAGAAGAAACCTGACCAAGAATGCCAAGAAGGTACTGGGAAAGAGATGCGGAGAAACAAGAATGACTAGCATCAAGTCCAGACAGCTCTCTCCTGTGATACTTAACAGTGTGTGGGTTTTGAATGACTTGAGGTGGGTTTTTGTTGTTGTTGTTGTTGTTGTTGTTTTGTTTTTTTGAAAACCTAGATAGTCACAAGGGCTCAAAATTGTCGTTTATATGCATTTATTGTTTTGTAGAAGAAATTATAACAAACTGAGGTTTGGAACCTTTTTCCACATGTAGCATTGTTTGAACCTTACTGCAATGCCTACATAGTACAGCTATCATCAAATCATGGCCTGAGTCATTATTTGCTTTCTGCAGATCTCCCCTGATGGACTCCCAGCTGCAGGATGGGAGGTACCAAATGTACTCTCTTAACCCCTGTGTCCCAGTAACTTGTGTACCTGACAAGAGCCTAACAGACACTTGCTAAATGTATGAATGTATGAATGTATGTATGTATGTATGAATGAGTCATCTCTTTCCTAGGAAAGAGAACTGAATATAACCCAGGATTTGCTTTTGTTTTCTGAAAGCGAGTAAGGCAAATTAGCAAGGACACTACTTTTCCCAACATCATTTAGTCAGGGACCTTTGGTTTTTCAGGAGTGCCTTCCTGAAATCCAACAGACACACAACACCGAACACCCCTCCTTCCCACAGTCTGGATGTAGTCTTTAAAGTCCATAGAAGCATCCCTTGAATACAGAATAGGAACAAATTAGAGGACAGGATAGTGTGCAGAAAACTTCCTGTGCTGAAAATGACAACGTTTTACTTCCTGATGTGTGGAAAAGGGGATGAGGGTTAAAGGCGCTCTGAGGATAATTACAGCTGTAAAGTGCTCATTGTAGACTCTAACACCTGCACTGATAACTGTAAATTTTTCTCATGCTTTCTTTAAAAGTTTCATTCCCAAGTGGGTAAAAACAAAGTTTCACTACAGTGTAATTAAGTTATTTAGTAGCCTTATGCTTTTGTAGCTTTGCTACCTAAGACCCTACTACTCATCTGATGCTCTAAGCTCTGGTATCCAGGCAGTACAGGGTAGAAGTGGACTGGATGATTGGTTGAATTACTCCTGCTGAAATAAATAATAATTAAAAGACCCCTGGTGTGGGACCATGGTCTGTATACTGTCAATTATATTTTAAATAAACACTGATTGGCCTGTAGCAAGGCAGGAAATATAGGCGGGACAACCAGGCAGTAAGTAGAGGTGGTTCAATGAGAACAAGAGAATTCTGGGAAGAGGAAAGCCCATTCCTCCACAATTGTGAGCTTGCCACAGAAGCAAGATGTGACTGCCTCGCTGAAAAAGGTACCGAGCCAAGGCTATCACAGATAGGAATAATGAGCTAATATAAGTTATAAGAGTTAATAAGAAACCTGAGCTAATGGGTCAATCATTTTATAACTAATGTAGACCTCTGTGTGATTTCTTTGGGACTTAACAATTGTGGGAACTGGGTAGGCCCCACTACCGTGGTTTCCTTTCCTGTTTATACCTTGTGAGATAGGTATTAGCTTCTTCAGCAGAAGAGACACCTAAGTCTCAGTGTTCAATCACTTGTCCTTGCCTACCATCACCCAGCACCTTCAACATAAACCAAGCCCTCTGATGACTCATCCTTATCATGTTGATTATTTTCCCCAGTTCTGACTTTGCTTTCCCTCTCTCTCTCCCCCTCTCACCAGGAAAGGAGAAGAAGCTCTTGGCAGAATGGCATCTCATTGTGTTTCCAGCAACCGCCTGCTTTGTCTTGTTAATTTTCTCACTCATCTGCAGAGTGTAGGTATTCCTTACTTTCAAGGGCTGACTTTCCAGTGCAGCCCTTACACATGGCTCATTATCAGATGGAGTTTACAGCATGCTGCTTCAGGCTGAAATAAAACATGACATACAGACAGGACACAGCATGGTCCTCAGCTATGACACACTCCTCAAATTTGCTAACATTATCTTAATTTCTACCAAGATTTTTGCCACTGTATTCTTTACTTTCACAGTTTCCCCTTTTGTACTTGCTTGTTTTTTGCCATCTCCTATAAAAAGGCAGCAGTCCACCCAAGTCTGAAGTCACCGCACTGCCTTCACATATGGGTCTCAGTAGTCAAGGGTTGACCTCTGCCTGGCTTTCAGGTACCTGATCCAGAGTGGCTGTCCTTATGTCAAATGCAGATTCTCTAAAGGCTGCACAGATCTCAAATCCCACTGTGCAGCCTGCAAATGACTGCACCCCCTCCTCTCTCAATCACTAAGGCAAAGTTCTGTTTTAGCCTAACAACTTTGGAAATAACTTCCCTATTAAAGGATATTACTCATTAACATGTTATATTTAGATGCCCACGGGTGATAGGCAGCAGTTCAAAGGGAAAGGAAAGATGAGAAGAAACTGTGAATTTGTCATTGTTGAAGGAGGAAAGCTAGAATGAGCAGTGAACGAGAAGTCAAGCAAAGGATGCCGCTGACCCATCTTCAGAAGTCAGACCTGGCAATGAGCCCGATGTGAAACTGGTAGGGTTTCCTCTTCCCTGTCTCCAGGAAGCTTAAAAGCCTGGCAGCATTCCAAGGTTTTCAATGATGATGAGATGTTTAGAAATCTTAACCAACAGAGAATCCCAATTTGTAACACGGTTACACATAGAACTGATTTAGTCAATGTTTGAGTAGAAATCTAGACAAGAGGACTATTTATGTTCACCCAATTCCTTCCTATTTTCAGGTGTCACATATGGATCAAGCTATTTCCACCAGTTCCAGCCCCTAAGAGCAACATTAAAGATCTTCTTGTGGTGACTGACTATGAGGTAATGTTTAAAGACACATAGAGGTGGTATTCTAAGTGCCCTGCGGTGAGTCTCAAGCTCTCGCTGTATATATGGATGCACCAATCAATAACTATATGTATCTCTCTCTCTCTCTCTCTCTCTCCCTTTCCCTTTCTTCCACCTCTCTCTCTCTGTGTAATTAGTTTTAGAAGTTATTATTGCCTCTACATTTAGAGAAAGTTTTATAGTCAATGATAAGGGCTTTGTGTAGCTCTGGCTTTACTAAAATTTGCTATGTAGACCAAGCTGGTCTTAAACTCACAGATCCACTTGACTGCCTTCTAAATGCTGGGATTAAAGGCAAGAATCTGGGAGTCTATGGTAAATTTGAGCTTTTATGGCTAATCTGGGAAGAAAGTGACGTCGTAATACTACTATCAGCATTTCCATATATTGAGGTCTTTTTAGTTACTTTCAGCAACATTTCAAGATTTTCTGCATATAGTTATTGCACTTTGTTGACCTTATTTTTCAGTCAAGTGGCTATTGAAATAAAGGGCAGAAAATACTTCCTATAAAGACATAATATACATTTAAAGTAGAACTGGTTTTTTTTTAAATAAAGGGCGTATCCACATAAAATGTACTACAGAATTTGCATTGCTATGTTATAATAAAACTTTATGAAAGATAACAAGCCAGATTAGGCTTTATTTACTGACCTCTGATTTAGATCAAGGAATTCTCTTAACAGACTTAGAAGCTTTTTCAACAGATGTGGATGAATCATCTCGTGTCCAGTTACAGGAAAAGACAGACTGATGAAAAAGTCATCAGGATAGTTAATTTCAGTTACCCCCCCCCCCCAAAAAAAAATTTAGAGCCTTTTACAGTTTGAATTACAGTTAGTGGAAAACTACTAAACTACTGAAGTAAAAACTGAGGCTGGCCAGAAAGACATGGTACACTGTACTTCTTCCTCGAATTCTGCACTGAGAGAACAGCACACCCCTGCTGGCTTACCTATTGCTCCTTGGAAAGGAGCAGGCCCTGTGTGGATCTACTTCTGGTCATCTGAGTGTGCACTGTTCATTCCTCTTTGTTGTAGCAGAGGAAAACACACTGAGGTTAAACATGACAACTACAGTCATTTGTCCTGTTCTCTTAATGGAGCATTTGAAGGTTGGTCTCTAATTTCCTTATAGAGCCTGGGAGGATTCTGTTAATATTCTGAGGCTGGTGAGTGAAACTGGCTTAAGAGATTATTTTCTGAGCTTCTGGTTTGTTATTAATTAAAATCAAGTCATGTGTAGAATAACGACTTAGGGCAGACAGGCTGGTTTCAGAATATGCAAAGGATTAATGTCAACACCGCTTGGCTTTTCAGGATAATTTTCTCTGTGCACCCATTACAGAGTTTTATATGAAAGACTGTGGAAAAGAGGGAGGCACAGAGAATTAAGGACTGAAGTAAAATGTAATATTACATTGATGTTGTATGTAGTATTAGACGTAGTGTTATGGCCTAAGATTTTAACCTAAGATTGCATGTGAGCAAGTGGAGAGCTGTCCACAGCTGGGTGACACACAGCAGTGTGTTCCAGCCACCCATTCCACCCATGGGGAATTTAATACAAGAAAAAGAAGGCCCATTAGTGCTATTGGCACTATGGTCCCTGGAGAGCACCTGAAGAGTGGAAAATGAAGCTCTCTACTTTGACAGTTGATCCTTCATGGTGAGGGTAAGGATTTGTGTCAAGACCCATTGTGGATGTCAAAAGCTGTGGTAATCAAGCCCTGATGGACAATGGTCCAGTATTTGCTTAGACTCTACACATCGGCACCACAATATAAATCTTCCTAAAATTACTTCAAATACACACATGGCAAATGCCGTGGAGGAGGTTGCAGAGTCTGAATAACACTGCACAGTATGAATAATAAGAACAAGATCCCTTGTTTGAACTCACAGAAGCAAAACAGTAGCTTTAGGGGCTCTCTGTGACTTTTAACACTGTACTTGGTAGGAATGCTCAAAGTCATGGGCTTGGAAGACAGACAGCAGTCATCTTGGAGCTGTTGCCAAGTGGGCTTTTGCTTCTTTAGACAGGCATAGAGACTGTTTTACAACATCCAATAGACAATTAACATTTTGGTTCTTTTTTTTTTTTTTTTTTTTTTTTTAGATTTCATTCTGAGTTTTCAAACTTATTAGAGATGAGTTTCTAGTTGACTTTTTTTCACTGGTAACCAGAGAGGGTTTCTCCCTCTATTATGCCCACTATAAATAATATAAAATATGGTATTCAGGAAACATGTCTGCTGTGTTTCTAGGATTATGCCTAATACATAGCATCATATCTAAAATGAAATGAGTGTTGAAAACTGTTGAATGAAGGAAAATAGGATGATCTTTTACAAGTGATATCTTAAACATAATTTCTAATTATTACTGGCTGTATGTGTTATATTAAAATTACATTAAAAACAAATGCTCCAAAGATGTGCTAGAATCTTTTTATCTTTTTTGAACAGGGTCTCATATAGTGCAACAACATCATGACCCCCAAAATACAAAATATACTTAAAATATTATATGATATTATAAAGAAAAAATCATAGACCTATGCAAGGGCTAAGGGGATATGTTGCGGGAGCTCCTTCCGCTCCTTCAGCCAATAGCTGCTGAGATACCAGCCCATTGGGGTGTGGTCTCTCTCCCTTTAAAAAAGTGGCCACTTCTCTCTTCTCTCTCTCGATTCCAGCTCCGCTTCCAGCGACTAGGCTCCTTTGCTGATTGTGTAGAGGGCTGTTGTCTGGGACATTCATCTGCATGTTTTCCCCTTTACATAAATAACCATTCTATTAATCATAATTCCAAACTGGTGTGGGATTGTTTGTGATTTACGCCTTCAGGGATATATCCCATTGGCAGTATATCAATAATAGGAATGAATTATAAAGCTAAAGCTGTGTGTCCCTGTTACTTTATCATGAATGTAAAGAATACTTTATGTGTTAGAAAGGACTGAGAAGCAGTAGGGTATATTTGGGAGATAAGTCGGATATTTTTTTCTTCTTCCCACTTATTTTTTTATTTGCTAAACATACTATTGTTTTTTAAAAGTTACTTCAAACCAATTAAAAAAATCAAAGAAATGAGGTGTTCTCTGAAAGACAAGTAAGGAAAATATTTTGTTTTGCAGAAAGCTGCTTGGAATGAAACCAAAATTGAAGTTGTAAGTTATGTGGAAGAGGCTGGATTTGAAGTCATGGAAAACTCCATATTTTAATGGCATCGTGATATTCTGAAAAGAATTCACATAGGACTCCATGATAAAGGCAAGAACTGATATTTTTTGGCAACCAGGAATTTCAAATGAACACACAGCACACAATTTGATTGCGAGGCAACGAATCCAGACACACGAGTCTCCAATGTCTCATCTCCTTAAGTGTACAAATCTCATCAAACCACCTGGCTCACAGCAGGACAATGAACACATCTGAGCAGGGCACCTCGTTTTCCCACCCACAGTATATAAAGTATCACCCGGCCTGGTTATGCAGGCCAGTCTTTGCAATTTGCATGACTTACTTTGAATATTTTGCACAGGAGACAGTTTTTCAAGCTAATATCACATGTTAATTTGGTTTGAGATGCCAACAGTAGCACTTTTAGCTACAGTGATGGGAAGAAACAGTGGAACCCATCCAGAGTGAACCCAATTACAGGACTGTCTTTCCCGCAGCAAGTGGAAGCTATCATTTCATGGTGCTTTTCCCCTTCGAGTTCTAGAATACTTCTTTCAGGAACTGAGTCTGTGTGTTGGGGTGTGGGATGAAGCAATGTGGAGCCAGAAACAAAGACTATGTCCAGTTCCATATGCCTGTCTCAGGAAGCATCCCAGCCAAAGTAACTAAAAATGTGCACTAAGACATCATGACTGGGTCTAAGGAGATGAATGGCTCAGTTGGCCAAGTGCTTGGTGAAGAAGCATAAGGACCTGAGACTGGTGACCCAGCCCCAAGGAAACAGCAACCAAACAGTGCAAGCAGCACGAGCCTCTGATCCTAGTGTGGGCAAAACAAAGATGAGAGGCTCCATGGGCCCTGTTGGTCACTCTGGCCACAAAGATGGGATACTCCATTGGAACTGATGGTCACTCAGTGAGAGATCCTGTCTCAAAAAATTTAATGTGGAAAGTTATTGGGGAGAACCCCTGACACCGGCCTTTGGCCTATATGCACACGTACACACATGAACACACACACACACACACATACACTAAAAATATCATGCCCCATCAAGAGAGAAGACAGGAGTTTGTTGAAGGATTACATTTTTCAAGTTTTTCCTTGGTACTATGGAAATAAACATTGAACATAATTCTGCTGTGAAGGTGATTGCTAGATCTAGAATGTACTTCCAAAAGAGATGTTTGATGCAAGGGCCTTCAGGGCGACTTATTGGTCAACTAGTTTTTGTTCAACCTTATTCTCTTAAGTTAGGGTTTTCTAGAAGTCATCTCAGTACACATTATAATGGTATAGAAATGTATTCTCTCAATGTCTTCATATATGAGGCCGTATTTATAAGTCTTTGCAATGGGCAGTGGGCTTGAAGTAGAAGCAAGCACAAGTATGCTCTGGGAGGAGGAATAGTTAGTAGTAGACAGGACCCTAGTGGTACTGATTTTACATAGTTCTGAGGCAAGGAGCTTGAGACAATGAAAGGAGATGATGGCACTTCAAATCAACACCGTGGACCACTTTTTAATACTTTATAGAGCTGGTTTAGTTAGTTTAGATACTCTGGGTGAGGTATCCAAGGAGTACCCACTATCTGTTACATGGTTTTTCTGATTTAGCATATAACCGGCTGAACAATTATGGACATCTGCCAATACTGGACTTCTCCGAGGGTCAGAACACACTATAGCAGGTTTTCTGTGCTGTCTCTCTGGTCTTCACAAGTCTGTGCTCTGCCACAGTCATATGCATTATGGCCTTCATATTAAAGATACAGGAAATGGGGATGAGAAAGGTCAATAGCCAGGAAAGGGCACAGCAATGAGCTGAATATCACACTCGGCAGACTGCAGTAACACAGAGGAGGCTATCACATAAAAGCTAAAGTTGGGGCCCTAGAGAGATGGCTCAGTGGTTAAGAGCACTTAACTGTTCTTCCAGAGGTTTGTGTTTAATTCTGAGCAACTGCATGATAGCTTACAACCATCTGTAATGGGATCAGATTCCTTCTTCTGGTGTGCATGAAGACATAGGTCATAGAATACATGGATAAATAAATCAAAAAAGAAAAAAAAGGAAATGCTGAAGTTGGCTTTAGGGCTCAGACTAGGAAGTTGAGGCCCATGGAAGTATTACTATCATTGGAAAAATTTGTATTTGACCAACTAACTGGCCAAGAATCTATGAAAAATGGTGCTAAAAGAATCTCTATAAAGGGAGTCAAGAATGTGCATGGCCAACAATTCTCAAGTAAGTCTTATGCTGCTGGTCTGTGTACCACACTTTGGTAAACTGTTATGAACATCACAAATTGAAAACTGCCCAATTAAAGAATAATGGATGGAAACAACCAACTCTAAGAATTCTCTGTTTCTTGTCTTTCAAAAGAAGTCTAGAAACACCATTTTGGAAACTTACCTCTACTCGAGAAGGTTGGACCAGAAAAGGGAGCTGGAGCACTGCCCTCATGCAAGGCCAGTTGTTCATTTTGAGTGTGTGCAGTTCTCATTTGAGAGAGCCCTCCCTAAACCTAATAGCCAATAATTTTCTGGGTTTCACAGGATTCCTGTGCTGGTGTTAGCATCTTATCTTGGTGTGTGTATAAGAAGCAACACAAAGTACTTCTTGTGACCTTGTCAGCATATTGTGGATTTACTCTCCTTGATTTTTGGATTGTGACAATCATTCTTTGGGAACTCATATCCAATATTATCTCTTCTATGAGGCTTCAAAAACAGTTGGTAGATCATGTCTCTGGAGTCTCATTGTAAGCCTTATGTTTTGGAAGATGTACCCAACAGTTTAGCTGCCTCCATGTTTGATCATGTGCTCCAGGGGCATTGACATTCTGCAAGCAGGATGCATCCTTTTATTTACAGTGTCTAGAGCAGTACCTAACCCTTAAAAATTACATATGGTTCTGGAGCTGGAGAGATGACCCAGAGGTTAAGAGCAGTGGCTGCTCTTCCAGAGGATCTGAGTTTGATTTCCAGCACTCACATGGTGATTCACAACCATCTATAATTTCTGTCTTAGGGTATCTGACCCCCTCTTATGACTTCTGTGGCCACTAACATGCTTGTGGTACACAGACATATATTGCAAAATCACTCATAACATTTTTTAAAAAAATTATATATGGTTAGTGAGCCAGCTAATGTTCCCTTAGCCCTGGCACAGCACTTTCCATATATTTAAAATTGAGCTGCATTCAAGAAAGATTATCAAGACCTACGATGCCATAGAAAGAAGAACAGGTATCTAATAGGACTATAATGGGAGTAGCTAGAAGAAACTCTGTAGTTGATAGAAACTGAGGTCACAGTATTGATTCTCCTAGCATAAGACAGAGACCCACCTTCCTCTTAGATCTTTCACAGCCATAGTATATGAACAAAAAATGCTTCTTCAAGGTATCTTTTACAACGAAGAGCTTATTGCAACCTCTCTCTTTGGTACTTGTAATTCACAGTGAGCAATATACGGGAGTTTGAGGCGACTGGGGAATGAAGCTTGTCTGCAACAGGCAAACCACCGGAGCCTCGTTGATATGCCTCAGGCCTCAAACTATTTAAGCTGGCTGGGGAAGAAGCCACTTGGGCAAAGAGCATCTTGATTAAAAATCTAAACGGTTTCGAGGGGAGACTTGTATGTGTCAGGACCATCTGCTAGTGGAATTCAAAAACTGTAGGTGCTAATTTGTTAAAGATAAAGCAGACTGCTGGTGAGAAGGAAGAACTATAAACAACCTCTGATGGCTGGGGAAGGATGATGAGCCGGATGGAAATGGGGCATAGTGTCACCCTAAGGATTTTTGTGACAAAAGCTATGGAGCCGCTCTTGCTTTCATGTCCCGTACATGGAGTTCCAGGATGCAAACTTTTTCAAAACACTTTGTTTAGAATTTCATATTGAGTTAAATGTCAATTTCTTCCTTCAGCATTACCCCGTGAACGTAATGTGGGTCAAGATAGGAGTCCGTTAACATAAATGGCAATGATTTATTTGAATCTATGTTATCAAGAGAGGTATATTTTTAATTTCCCCCCTCAAACATTACCCCCTTTCTGTTCCCACTACAGCTACCACCATCCTTCACCTCATTTGCAGGAGCCTCTGAACTGAATTTCTGACCTCCAGGATTTCCTTTCTCTTAAAGGCATTTCTTCCTGTATCACTCTGTCCAAAAACCTTTTTTTATTATTAATTTATTTGTTTATTAAAGATTTCTGCCTCCTCCCCGCCACCGCCTCCCATATCCTTCCCCCTCCCCCAATCAAATCCCCCTCCCTCATCAGCCCAAAGAGCAGTGAGGGTTCCCTGTCCAAGGACCTCCCACCTCCTAAAGGATGCTTCATTAAATCAAAGCTTGGCATATCAAGTAGTCCACTGTTACCCGGCATCTCTGTAGTGCTCCAGAAAACCTGTGTGAAATCCAACCTCTATTCTGGTCTGTAAGCATCAAGCTATGTTTCCCGTCTCATGACTGCTTAAGTTTTCTCCAGTGGAAAAAAGCTTCTGATTTACCCCCCATTCTTGTCAATGCTGCATCTTCTAAGATTTAGCATTTTGCTACATTGAAGACTTTAATTTCTTGCCTGATTGTCATGTCCCTGTATGTTTGCCAGATGCCTTCTGTGTAATTCTTACAGCATTCAGCTGCTTGTTTCTTATTTATTGTGTAAACACTCTGAGGCCAAGAACAACTCCTTATGTGCCACTATTCCCACAGGCCCTCAGTAGGAACTGAGTGGTTGCTGAGCTGAGCAGGACTAAGGAGACAGAAACATTCAACAGATATTTAGAACTCTACTGCAGACTCATATATTGAAAGCTGTGTGATTATGCCAAAAATGAAGCAACCATCAAATAAGGTAGTAAGAATTCACAGTTGACATCACTCACTTAATCTGAAGACAGCCGGCTGCTGGCATCCCTGCATGTGGGCACTCAGAGTACCCAAGTTCTCACACTGTGAGGAGCTCCTGTTCACTGGGCACTTCCCCCAGCTTTGTATTTGGTAATTAGCACATGTATCAGGAACACAGAGTAGCCTGGGTGTGTTAAGTTGAAATTCTAATGTGCTTTCAGTTTTCAACTTGAAAATGTGTTCTTAAGTTCATTTCTTTTTCTCAAATTAAAAGCAGAGATTGAGCCCTAACAAGCGATAAAAATGCAATAATACTTAAACCTGGCAGGAGGAGGAGGAAGAGGAGGAAGAGGAGGAGGAGGAGAGAGTGAAGAAAGCAGCAAAGCAACCAAACAGAGCTGTAGCTTAACAGCAACTAACTTGCTTCATCCCCTCTTTCAGCACTCTATGACCTGTTGCTGCTTCACTTCTGACATAATACAACGTGTACATGGGTAAGGCCGTGTCCTCTTATTTTCTTTTGGAAAATGGACCAGTGGGCTAGATTTCACGGGGGAGGGGAGTGGTGTAATATTTTTCTTTTACAAAGCTTAATGAACTCCACATATGTTACCGCACGGGTGTGGTTCCTCTCCAGCGTGTTTGAAAGACAACCAATTTAAGAAAATGTTTAATCCAATAAAAACCATTTTATTCTGAGTTATGTTGACAAAAAACTTGATTGTTCCCCTGAACTTACCTGTGCTACTAATTGGTTTCACAGGAAAACAGAGATGCAGGATTTTTGTTCCTATAAGCAATGTCCACATTTTTATGCCATAGTTCAAATATGTGCATTCTTTGGTCTTCTCCACTAAACTGCGAGGAGGGAAGTCTCAGTCCTTTTATCTCCATTTCTTCAGTGCCAGCACAACACCCGGCTCTTACCTGTTGACTGGTCAATAATAAGAACAGCTGTACTCAATAAAATCCATAGTTACTTGTTTTCGGTTACTTTGTTCTAAAGATTGATAAACACCCCCCCCCCAACTAGCTGTATGGCTCATATTCTTGGGAAGAAGATTATTTGTATATCTCTTTAAAATATTTCTGGAATTTTCTCCACTCTCTTCTTGCCTCCTTGGCAAATAATTTGGCTTTGGAAAGATCTTTTTGTCTTAATTTTTTTTTTTTTTTTTTTGGTTTCAACTGTAAGAGGACCTTATACACCAGTTCTGGCTCTCACAATGCAGGGCACTCACACATGCAATGCTTGCACACATGTATGCAAGCAAGTAGTCATGCACCATCCAAGGGAGAGAAGAGAGAGGCCAATGAAACAGTGTTCCAAATAGCAAGCCTCAGGCTTCCACCACAGAGTCATTCATTTCAGACATTGGAAAGCCCCTGGAAATTTGGAATAAAAATTAATGACTTCATGGGGGTCGTTGCATCTTCTTCCCTGCAAGACTTAGTACATACACGGGGGCATCAATCAAATTTGTATTTCAAATAAATATTGCATGTAACACACTTAGTCTTCATTCGTTTTTTTCTAAATCCAAGATTGACCAGAGCTCTTTGATTTTACTTTGTGCCCTGATCAGTACTACTCTGATAGCTTAAGTGTGAAGGGCTCTTATTACAAATCCAAGTGAAAAACACAATTTGCGATAGAAGAAAGAGGAGCAGCCCTGCTTGGCCTCTTTGGAGTTAAAAAAATTCACCATACAAAATCTGCAGGAATTTTGAGTATTTGGGAACTTATCCCAGCTCTTGTCAATTTCAAATTTAACACACCAACACATAACCTCGTAAAGGCTCACTATTTAATACCTTATATTCCTGTTGCTACTAATATATCATCTATCTATCTATCTATCTATCTATCTATCTATTATCTATCTATCTATCTATCTATCTATCTATCTATCTATCTATCTATCCATCTATCTATCTATCATCTATCTATAAATCTATAATCTATATACCATCTATCTATTACCTATTTATTGTCTAATTACCTTTCCTTCTTGTTATTAGGTCACTAATCTATCACTTGTCTGCCTGTCTGCCTGTCTTCCTTTCTGTCTATCATTTCTCTCTCACCTGTCTGTCCATCTCTCAATCATTTATGTGCCTTTCTTCTATACAAGGCTATAGAAATCTAATGTTTGAAAGGGGCCCTAGACCTATGCCAGAAACATCTGAATTCCTGGTCTTGGCTCTGATGCACATGGTACATTTTTAAACCTCTCAGCCTCACTTCTCATGTGCAAAAATATGGAATGATAAGTAGTAGCCCAAACAATCACCAGGATGATCTGCAGGGAGACGACTACACACCACTAGCACGGCTGACTGTTACTTACACCACATATATCC